TGGCTACGTCACTGTCTCTGGGCCCAGGAGTCTCCAGGTCTTGCCACACTGCTGGCCAATCAGGTCTCCACCCAGGTTCACAGGAGTCTGTTGAATATTGTAGGACTTAGCTTGCTGCTTCATTGCTGTTTTTCCCTTACTTCCCCTTATCAGTGACCAATGTGGTCACCAATCATAGTACATGTCTGCTTGTGTATTCCCATTGAGTTTTAGTCTTGGAAGGGGGATTGCCCTGAAGGGACTTGACTACTTGCCTTGATGTCTCCTACGTGAGCAACTTGCTTGTTCTTGTAGTAATCAGTCGGACTGCCATTATTGTTTTGTATTTTTCCTGTCAGTCTTTCTTTCAAAAGTATCTTCTATTCTTCTAGCTGCTCCAGTCTCGTCTGCTTGTCCTTTCCAGTGGAAATTTCCCACCTCAGAAGATTCTGGATGGGGTTCAGGATTCCATCTATGGTCTTATGTAATGCACAGGCTCTGCAGGAAGCCTCTTTCACTGGGCACACTGTAGCCTCATTTTAGGTATTCCAATCTGTTATAAAGGATCTCTGGTAGCGTAGTGGTTACGAGTTGGGCTGCTAACCTCAAGGTCAGCGGTTTGAAACTACCAGTTATTCCTCGGTAGAAAGATGAGGCATTCTGCTCCCATAAAGATTCACAGCCTCACAAACCCTGTACAGGATCACTATGAGTTGGAACTGACTCCACGGTACTTAACAACAATCAGTTATAGTCAGAAGACAGACTTACAAGCTTTCTATGTTGATATATCTGGCTATTCCTTTCTCTCCCCCTCAAGTGTCTATTTCGTTTTCTTTTGTTAGATTTACTAAAGGTTTGTTGATTTTATTAAGCCTTTCAAAGAACCAACTTCTTGTGTTGTTGATTCTTTCTACTGTTTTCCTGTTTTTTCTTTGTTTCTGCTCTAACCTTTACTTCTTTTCTTCTAGTGACTATAGACTTACTTTGCAGTTCTTTTACTAATTTTAGGGATGTAGGTATAAGGTGTTGATTTTGATTCTTTCTTTATTTGGATGTGTGTTTATTACTATACATTGTCCTCTGAGCTCTGCTTTTGCTGTATAACAAAGGTTTGGGTATGTTGTGTTTTGTTCTTGTTTGAGTCAAGGAAATTTTTTTTATTTCATTTTTTCTATTACCCAGTAGCTTTTAAGCAGGGGCCAGATTTTGCTTTTTAAACTAATACACATTAAAATACAGCACCTCATGGAAAAACCACAATGGAAGTAATGAGACTGTTGTGGTAGTGTTTTGTACTTTTCTTTGTATAGGTCTTTTGTTTCTCTGGCTAGATTTATTCACAAGTATTTCATCTTTGGGGTGGCTATTGTAAATGGTGGACTCCTGGTGTGACACTGTAGGATCAGCACTGAACTGTTAACCACAAGATCAACAGTTCAAACCCAGCAGCTGCTCCTTGGGACCCTACACAGGGTCGTCATGAGTCAGAACCAACTCGACAGCACTTAACAACATTGTAAATGGTATTCTTTTCCTGATTTCCTTTTGAGAGCTCTCTTTATTAGTGTAAAGAAATCCAACTGATTTTTGGATGTTGATTTTGTAGTCTGAAGAATGGAATCAATGTCACTAATTTGTGTAGAACCTTCACCAAAAAACACAATAAAATATTATTAAAAAAATTAATCAGTAAATTATTAAAAAAAATTAATCAGTAAATGCAATTATGACAGAACAGTTTTCAGAGGTTGCCAGGGGGTTGGTATGTATGTTGGGAGATCAGGGCTGAGAGAGGCAAGGGAGAGTGATACAGAGTCATGAGGAAATGTTGGGGGAGAGTGATAGATATGTTCATTAGTTTCACTGTACTGACGGTTTCATGGTTCAAAAAGATGTGGTAATCAACACTTACCAAACTGTACAGTATATGCAACTTACTGTATGTCAATTATACCACATGAAAGTTGCTAAAAAGCATAAAATAAAAAAAATATAGCACCACAAAAATAGAAACAATTAGTTCATATTTTGTTGTTGTTGTTAGGTGCCATCGAGTCGGTGCCAACTCATAGCAACCTTATGCACAGCAGAACGAAACACTGCCCGGTCCTGGGCCAACCTCACTACTGTTGCCACGCTTGAGCCCACTGATGCTGCCACTTGGCCTATCTATCTCGTTGGGGGTCTTCCTCTTTTTCTATGACCCTCCACCTTACCAACCATGCTATCCTTCTCCAGTGACTGGTCCCTCCTAACAATATGTCTGAAGTATGAGAGACAAAGTTTGGCCATCTTGGCCTCCAAAGAGCACTCTGACTGCACTTCTTCTAACACAGATCTGTCGGTTCTATGGGCAGCCCATGGCACTTTCAAAATTCTCCTCCAACACCATAACTCAAATGCATCAACTCTTCTCCGGTCTTCCTTAGTCACTGTCCAACTTTCACATGCATATGAGGTTACTGAAAATACCATGGCTTGGGTCAGGCGCACCTTAATCCTCAAGCAGACATCTTTGTTTTTCAACACTTTAAAAAGGTCTTGTGGAGCAGATTTGCCTAATGTAATACATCATTTGATTTCTTGACTGCTGCTTCCATGAGTGTTGATAGTTGATCCAAGAAGAATGAAATCCTTGACAACTTCAATCTTTTCTCCATTGATAAGAATGTTGTTTATTGGTCCAGGTGAAGATTTTTGTTTTCTTGACATTGAGATGCAATCCATACTGAAGGCTGTGCTCTTTGATCTTCATCAGTAAATATTTTAAGTCTTTTTCACTTTCAGCAAGCAAGGTTGTATCATCTACATATATCGCAGGTTGTTAATGAGTCTTCCTCCAATCCTGAAGCCACATTTTTCTTCATATAATCCAGCTTCTCGGACTATCTGCTTAGCATACAGGTTGAATAAGTATGGTGAAAGAATACAACCCTGTCATACACCTTTCTTAATTTATGGTATCCCAAAATATCTCACATCCCACCAGTGGCCAATAGTATTTTAGGATAGATTCCCAGGAAAAGAATGACCGAGGAACAATGAATACACTTAATATTTGTACCAGCCCTTCCTAACCAGAGCTGATGGGTTGGAGGGCCAGGAGGGGTCTTAGTAAGTTCCTCGCTTTCTGTGAGTTGAACAGTAGTATAGTGCAGTGCTTAAGTAACCATTTCCAAGGGTTTTGAGGTTTGGGGACTTGAATCGTAATCTCACTGATCCTCAGTTTTTTTCACTTGTAAAATGGGGAAGAGACTAGATCTGGCCACGCATCAGGTAATACTGGCAATACTAAGAACCATTAGTGTATGCATGTTACATAAAAAGCTCTGGTTCAGACTTCTTTCCCAAACTCCTGCTAGCTTAGGGAGGTGCTGTGCCCAGATTCCACTGATTCATAATCTTAAAAGGAAACAGCAGGAAATCTATTTGAAACAAGCAGTTTATTGAATTGTCCATCTGGTGAGTTTCCGAAATGTCAATCAGGGCTGTTGTTTAAGTGTCATGAAGTTGGTTTCTATTCATAGAGACAAGAGGCTATACATCTTGGCAGAGCAGAAAGCTTCACCTTTCTCCCCTGGAGCAACTGGTGGGCTTGGACTAAGGACCTTGTGGTTCAAAGTCCAGTGCTTATTCTACAGTGCCACAGCTCTCCCCTAATCAGTTAAGTAGTGGTGTTAGAGGATAGTGCACTGGACTGAAAGGTCAGTTTGAACTGCAGTGTTGGCAGTTCAAACCTCCCAGCCACTCCTAGGAAACCCTATACAGGGTCGTTGAGTCGGGACCAACTTGACTGTACTTAACAACAAAATTATTTTAGGATGATATTGGGAAGCTGTGATCAGACAGATGTGAAAGCTAAAGGTTATTTACTACTCTTGTACTTACTACTATTAGTCAGTCAACAAATATTTACCGAGCACTCAGTAAAGTCCTGGTAAGTACCGGAGTGCGAACCACAAGGCTGGATGGAAATTCTATACAGGGTCGTTGAGTCATAACTGACCCGATGGCACTTACATTAGTACCCTGCCTTATGCTAGGTGGTAAGGACACATCCAGGAATGGTTCAGGCTGCTCCCTCCTCCTCAGCACCAACTGCGAAATGGGGAGACTACCAAGGGGCCCCAAAGGGGAGGGGCTTCAGGTTGTTGTTAAGTGTCCTGGAGTTCGGTCTGACTAGAGTCTGTATAGGGCTTACAAAGGAGTGGCTATTGAGTTTGAACCGCCGACCTGCGGCTCAAACTGCCTTGCAGTCCAGTGCTTAGAGTGGACAGCAAATCCTTGTGTTGGGGCTGTGACCCCAAGAGGCCAGGCAGTAAATAGTCGGAAATGGAGAGCTAAAATTAGAGGTGCGAGTGGTGTTCAATGTGAAGTTCCAGGACCCCATCCCTGACTCTCATTTCCTCTTCAGTCCAGTCGTCAGGCTCCCCCTATATATATACACATACCATTATTCCCAATTTACAGATTAAGAAACAAAGTCCCAGTGAAGAGAGGGATCACACTTAGTCTCCAGCCCCAAAGGTGCCCGGGGTCTGGTCCTACCTCCTGTGCGGCCCGGAGGTCGCTAGAACCGCACATTGAGTCGGAATCCAGGGGGTTCGGGACGTCCCTGAGCAGTCCGTGCCGAGGAGGCCTGACCCTTGGAGGTCTGGGGCCCCGGCGAGGACCTACCTTTCACCCTAAGTCTTCCGCCCGGGAAATCACAACGCCCCTGAGCATTCGCTCCACATTGCCCTTCCTGCTAGCGCCGCGTGAGACTAGGAGATGGCCCCTTAGCCGACTCGGCCCAAGACCATCGCGAAAACGTCCATCCTTCACCAGCCCGAGCTAGCGACATTTCGCTCAGTCCTCTGGAACTCGGCGGAGACAACCATGGAAACTGATGGCTAGAGGGGCCCAGATTTGCCCTGTTGGTTCTCACTTCCGGCGGAAGTATCCGCCAGCCGTAAGTGTCCTTTCTCTGTTGCTTGCGCGGGCTGCTGGTGCTCTGTACCTGGGGCACCCACGACCACAATGGCGGCCACAACCCTGCTGCGAGCTACACCCCGCTTCTGTGGTGAGGGCGGTGGCATCCCGGGAACACGTAGGGTGCGCCGAGGGTGGCTGAGTTCGAACCCGAGCCCTGACCTCAGGCCTCTGTCTTGGCAGGTCTCGGCGCTGGCCCAACTCCACTATTGCAGGGTTTTTTGCGGCCGCCAAAGGCCCCAGCACATCCCCTCTTGTGCCGTGGCCTGGCCGTGGAAGCCAAGAAGACCTATGTGCGCGATAAGCCTCATGTGAACGTGGGTACCATCGGCCATGTGGACCACGGCAAAACCACGCTGACAGCGGCCATCACCAAGAGTGAGCGGGCATGGGTTCGGGGCAAACGGGCATGAGGTGAGGGCAGAACCTGGAACTAAGGAATTGGAGCGGGGGGCGGTGTCTTGAGTGCTTCTAAACGTTAAATGTTCCGGGAACCAGAACTCGGGCAGGCGGTTAGGTGGAAGGTGCAGATTTCCTTAAACATAAAGAACTAGGTGATGCACGAATGAATTGGGGCACCCTGAAATGCTTCCCCCTGGAAAAGTCGCAGGACTGGACCGCTAGGCCTTTACTCTTACTTTCTGACGCAAATTAGCTCTAGTTAAGAAGTGAGAGATTTGAAAGTGAGGGGCCCTAGAACTCTTACCCTCCAGGTTGCTCCAGGGTTAGGTGGGTGGGGCTCCGGGGCGTGGCCTGAGCCCTGATTTTGTGCCTGCACTTGTAGCTAAGAGGTGTGTTCTCGTCCCTCCAGTTCTAGCCGAGGGCGGTGGGGCCAAGTTTAAGAAGTACGAGGAAATTGACAATGCACCTGAAGAGAGAGCTCGGGGTATCACGATCAATGCTGCCCATGTGGAGTATACCACTGCGGCCCGCCACTATGCCCACACAGACTGCCCGGGTCACGCGGATTACGTTAAGGTGAGAGAGTTGCTAAGAACCTCTGGGGAGAGGGCGAGACGCCTTCTGTCAGGATGAAGTTTGGGTTTGAGGGAAGGAGATTAAGAAGCTGAGTTGTAGGAATTTGAGATGATGGATTTGTGGCCAAGACTACTCAAAGTAGGAGGTTAGGAGAGGAAACATGAGCCACTGTCTCACTTGCTGTGTCTGGTCAGATAGATATGGACCTGAGGAGGTCATTGAACTAGGCTGTTTCTCTCTTCCCCAAACTTAGAATATGATCACAGGCACTGCTCCCCTCGATGGTTGCATCCTGGTGGTGGCAGCCAATGATGGCCCCATGCCCCAGACCCGAGAGCACCTATTACTGGCCAAACAGGTACCCAGAGTCTGAGTGGGGTGTGAAGGGAAAGAGTTGGGGGTTGAGCTGGACTGGACACCATCTCTGTATCTTTTCTCATCTACAGATCGGAGTAGAGCACATTGTTGTGTATGTGAATAAGGCAGATGCTGTCCAGGACTCTGAGATGGTGGAGCTAGTCGAACTGGAAATACGAGAACTGCTCACTGAATTTGGCTATAAAGGGGAGGAGACCCCGGTTATTGTAGGCTCTGCCCTCTGTGCTCTTGAGGTGAGGGGGCTGCTGGCAGTGCATGGGACTGGATGGGCATGCAGAGCTCTGCTCTGAATCCAGGGAGTGGCGCTTGGTAAGGAAGAGGAGCAGAACAGAATTCAAGAGTCCTGTTAACCTCCTTTCATAGCAACGTGACCCTGAGCTAGGCGTGAAATCGGTGCAGAAGCTGCTGGATGCTGTGGACACTTACATCCCAGTGCCCACTCGAGACCTGGAGAAGCCTTTTCTGCTGCCAGTAGAGTCCATTTACTCTATCCCTGGTGAGGACCAGCCCATGCTTATGTTCCTTCTGCTCCCTACAATAGCCTATCCCTGGGTTGCTGATGTCCTCTCTTGTTCCTTCCCAGGCCGGGGCACAGTAGTGACAGGTACACTTGAGCAAGGCATTTTGAAGAAGGGAGATGAGTGTGAGTTCCTAGGACATAGCAAGAACATCCGCACTGTGGTGACAGGTATAGGATGCCTTATGAGCCTGCAGCTAACTCCAGGCTGACCGTTCACCTTGCATATCCCTTGTGCTTTCCTCTGTTGCTTCTCCCTTCTGTCTTCTCCGTTAGGCATTGAAATGTTCCACAAGAGCCTGGACAGGGCAGAGGCAGGTGACAACCTAGGGGCCCTGGTCCGAGGCTTGAAGCGGGAGGATCTAAGGCGTGGCCTGGTCATGGCCAAGCCAGGTTCCATTCAGCCCCACCAGAAGGTGGAGGCCCAGGTAAAGGCACCAGACGATGGTGGGCAGGGCCCCGCCACCTGTTCCCTGCATAGAAGCAGCACTTTCAGCGAAGTCTAGCTTACCTTCATTGTTCTTCTGTAGGTTTACATCCTTAGCAAGGAGGAAGGTGGCCGCCACAAGCCTTTTGTATCCCACTTCATGCCTGTCATGTTCTCTCTGACTTGGGACATGGCCTGTCGTGTCATCTTGCCTCCAGGGAAGGTATGTAGGTATAAGGACATTTGAGGGGGTCATATCAGCTCTGCCTCATTCACAGAGTTCCAAAGATAGGTGGCTGCTGGGGTGACTTGATTTCCTGGGGGCAGCCCAGAGACTGGCTGTTGATGTAGTTGAAACTAGTAGATGGGTCAAGACTAGTGGATTTATAGTGAGTCTTCACCCAGTATGCCTTAGGCTGAAGTAAGTTAAAAGCATTTTTCTCCAGATAGATTTCCGAGGAAAGGGTCCTCTTGCTGTTTGAGTATCGTAGCAATATGTGAAGGCTCAAGAGAAGTTCTGTAACTAAGAAACCTGCATAACCCCAGATTCCCTTGACACTGATAATCATGTGGCCTAGTTCATGCTCTCTTGCCTTTGCATAACCTATTGAGTTTGCTTGACAGCTGGGGTGAAGTTTTCTACATCACCCTGATACATTCTTTTACCAATCTCAATTTCCACGGTGAACAGCCAGTGAACTATTAATGAAATCAAAAGGTACATTAATGTTCATGCAGGGTGTAACCCATGTCTCCTTCCAGGAGCTTGCTATGCCCGGGGAGGACCTCAAGCTCACTCTGATTTTGAGGCAGCCAATGATCTTAGAAAAGGGCCAGCGCTTCACCCTGCGAGATGGCAACCGGACCATTGGCACTGGTCTTGTCACTGACACACCGGCCTTGACTGAGGAGGACAAGAATATCAAGTGGAGTTGAGTCTGTGGATCTCTGCTCAGGATCTGCTTCCGGGCTGGCTGCCCCTTTTCCTTCTGGTGCCCTCAGGTCTCAAGCTGCAGCCCTTGCCAACCCAGGAGCACACACCTAGACGGACACTTCCCCTGTTCAGAAGGAATGGCCTCCCTGCTGGCATAGGCCAATAAATGGTTCTGTGAATAATAGACTAATCCGTGTGTCTTGTGTCCTCTGTGTGAGGGGGAGATGATCGGGGCAACTGAAGCCCAGGAGCTGAAGATGTTGCAGAGCATTTTAAGTGAGCTTATTCCGCTAGCCTAGGGTAGAGGCTAGAAAAGTTTTTAAAAAAAAACAAACTTTTTTTGGGTGAATTGAGTGAAAGTTTACAGAGCAGATCATCAAGATTACATTCACCAAACCCCAGTTTGTTCACTACGTGGTTGTAATCCCTCCCATGTACCAACAGTTAACAGCATTTACCTCTATTCACTTTATTGCATTTCTCCATGTATCCCGCTACCTTTATTTCTCCTCTGCTAATAACCCTCTTGTCTATTGCCTGACCTCTCATCCATGTTAACACATGTCTACCCTTTAGCTCGGAGTCCTGATGTGGTGTTGTGGGTTGATACACTAGACTACAAAATCGGCTTGAACCACAAGGTTGGCGGTTCAAGCTCAACAGCTGCTCCTTGGAAACCCTATACAGGGTCATCATGGGTCGGAAGTGACTCGATGGCACTTGACAATAACAATCCTCTAGCCCATAAATAACCCCCCCCCATTAACATAGATGATTTCTTTTATCAAGAAAACTTGAACATTTCACAACATTGGTCTCATACAATGCCCTTTTGTGGTTGACTAATTTCACTCAGCATAATGTCCTCCAGGTTCAACCATGTTGTGAGATGTTTCACATATTCATGTGTGTTTTTCAACATTGTGTAATATTCCATTGTACGTATGTACCAAAATTTGTTTAACCATTTTAATGATGGGCATTTCACCTGTCTCCATCTTTTTGATATGTCTCCTGTAGACAGCATTTTGAAGGATCCTGTTTTCTTATCCATTTTGCTCTTTGTTTCTTGACTGGTATATTTAATCCATTTATATTCAGTGTAATTATCACTAGGTAGAAATTGTCAATTTTCTGGGGTGCTGTTAAGATTCTTTGTTTCACATGGTTTTCTATGCTGAGTTTATTTAGTAGGGTTTCTTGTGTTTTTCATTTCTATTGTGTTAATGTTTACTAAACTTGTCTGATTTTCCTTTTTTAAAAAAAATTTTGATGTTCTATTGTTAGGTGCCATTGAGTGGGTACTGCCCAGTCCTGTGCCAACCTCACAATCATTGCTATGCCTGAGCCCATTGCGCCTTCCTGCCACTGTACCAATCCATCTCGTTAGGGAAGTTTGGCCATCCTGGCCTCCAAGGAGCACTCAGCTGCACTTCTTCCAACACAGATCTGTTGGCTCTTTTGGCAACCCATGACACTTTCAATATTCTCCTCCAACACCATAACTCAAAAGCATCAATTCTTCTACAGTCTTTCTTACTGTCCAACTTTCACATGTATATGAGGTTATTGAAAATACCATGGCTTGGAGTCAGGCACACCTTAATCCTCAAACTAACATCTTTGCTTTTCCACACTTTAAAATATCTTGTGCAGCAGATTTGCCTAATGCAAAATGTTTAATTTCTTGACTGCTTTCTCCATGAAGGTTGATGGTTGTTGATCCGAGTAAAATATGAAGTCTTTGACAACTTCAAGCTTTTCTCCATTTATATGGATGTTTATTGGTCCAGTGGTGAGGATTTTTGTTTTCTTTACATTGAGATGCAACCCAGAACATGTGGTCTTTGATTTTCATCAGTAAGTATTTAAGTCCTCTTTGCTTTCAGCAAGCAAGGTTGCATCATCTGCACGTCGCAGGTGGTGAGTCTTCCTGCAGTCCTGATGCCACGTCCTTCCTCATGTAATCCAGCTTCACGGAAATGTGCTCAGCATACAGATTGACTAAGTATAGTGAAAGATACAACCCTGTCGCACACCTTTCCTAAATTTAAACCTTGGGTGTTCTTGAACTGCCTATTGGTCTTTGTACAGGTTCCTCATGAGCATAATTAAGTGTTCCAGAATACTCATACTTCGCAATGTTGTCCACAGCTTGTTATGATCCATACAGTCAAAAGCCTTTGTGTAGTCAATAAGGCACAGGAAAACATCTTTCTGATAATTCTCTGCTTTCAGCCAAGATCTATCTGATGTCAGCAATGATATCCCTTGTTCCACGTTCTCTTCTGAATCCGGCTTGAACCTCTGGAAGTTCTCAATGCATGGTTGCAGCCATTTTTGTATTGTCTTTAGTAAAACTTCACGCACAGGGGCTATCAATGATATCTGATAATTTCCACAGTCCTTTGGGTCACCTCTCTTTGGAATAGGCACAAATACAGATATCTTCCAGTCAGTTGGCCAGGTAGTTGTTTTCTTGGCATAGAAAAAAAACAACAGCCTCCAGTGCTGCCTGTTTGTTGAAAGATTTTGATTGGTATTCCATCAATTCCCAGAGCCTTGTTCTTTGCCAATGCCTGTAATGCACCTTGGACTTCTTCCTTAGTTGGCTCTTGATTATATGTTACCTCTTTAAATGGTTGAACATTGGCCATTTCTTTTTGGTACAGTAGCTCTGTATTACTTGCATCTTCTTTTGATGCTTTCTGCATCATTCAACATTTTGCCCATAGAATACTTCAATACCACAAGTCGAAGTTTGAATTATTTCTTCAGTTCCCTCAGCTTGAGAAATGCTGAACATATTCTTCCCTTTTGGTTTTCTAACTCTTGATCTTTGCACATTTTGTTTTAATATTTGACTTTGTCTTTTCAAGCTGACCTTTAAAGTTTTCTGTTTAGCGCTTCAACCTCACTTCTTCTGTTTGCTTTAGCATTTTTGTAATGGAGAGCGAGTTTCAGAGTCTCTTCTGACATCTATTTTGGTCTGTTTCCTCTTTCTTATCAATGACCTTTTGCTTTCTTCCTGATGTCATCCCACAACTCTTCTGGTCTTTAGTGTCAAATGCTTCAAATCTGTTTATCAGATGAGCTCTAAATTCAGGTTGGATATATTCAAGGTCATATTTTAGCTCTCACGGACTTAATTTTCTTTAGCTTCAGGCTGAGTTTGCATATAAGCAATTGATGGTCTGTTTCACAATTTGCCCTTGGCCTTGTTTTGGCTGCTGATAAGGAGCTTTTCCACCATCTGTTTCCACAGATATAGTCTGATTTCTGTGTAATCCATTTGGTGAGGTCCATGTGTGTATCTTTTACGTTGTTTAAAAAAGGTATTTGCAATAAAATCATTGATCTTGCAAAATCCTATCATGCGATCTCCAGCATTGTTTTTATCACCAAGGCCATATTTTTCAACTACTACTGATCCTTCCTCTACATTTCCACCTGTGCATTCCAATGACCAATAATTATCAATACTACTTGATTGCATGTTTGATCCGTTTCAGACGATCAAAGTTGGTAGAATTCTTCAATTTCATCATCACTGGCTTTAGTGGTTGGTTCATAAATTTGGGTGATAGTGGTATTAACTGATCTTCCTTGTTGTTAGGTGCCATCGAGTCAGTACCAGCTCATAGCGACTCTATGCACAACAGAACGAAACACTTCCTGGTCCTGGGCCAACCTCACAATCGTTGCCACGCTTGAGCCCATTGATGCTGCCACTTTGCCAATCCATCTCTCTGGGGGGGTCTTCCTCTTTTTCTCCGATTCTCCACCTTACCAAACATGATATCCTTCTCCAGTGACTGGTCCCTCCTAACAATATGTCCGAATTATGAGAGACAGTTTGGCCATCCTGCCCTCCAAGGAGCACTCTGGCTGCATATCTTCCAACACAAATCTGTTGGTTCTTTTGGCAGCCCATGGCACTTTAAATATTCTCCTCCAACACCATAACTCAAAAGCATCAATTCTTCTACGGTCTTCCTTACTCACTGTCCAGCTTTTGCATGCATATGAGGCCATTGAAAATACTATGGCTTGAGTCAGGTGCACCTTAGTCCTCAAGCTGACATCTTTGCTCTTCAACACTTTAAAACGACAACTATCTGGCCGACTGGAAAAGATCTGTATTTGTTCCCATTTCAAAGAGAGGTGACCCAAAGGAATGTGGAAATCATTGGACAATATCTTTGATGTCCTATGCGAGTGAAGTTTTACTAAAGGTAATACAGAAACGGCCGCAAGCATACATGACAGAGAACTTCCAGAGGTTCAAGCTGGATTCAGAAGAGGCTGCGGAACAAGGGATATCATTACTGCTGTCCAGTGGATCTTAGCTGAAAGCAGAGAACATCAGATGTTTACCTGTGCTTTATTGACTACGCAAAGGCTTTTGATTGTGTGGATCATGGCAAGCTATGGACAACATTGCGAAGTATGAGTATTCCGAAACACTTAATTGTGCTCATGAGGAATCTGTATATGGACCAAGAGGAAGTTGTTCGAATAGAACGTGGTTTAAACCACTGAATGTTTTAAAATTAAGAAAGGTGTGCAACAGGGTTGTATTCTTTTACCATACTTATTCAACCTGTATGCTGAGCAAATCATCCGGGAAAGCTGGGTTACGTGAAGAAAAATGTGGCATCAGAATTGGAGGGAGACTCATTAACAACCTGCGATATGCAGATGATACAACTTGCTTGCTGAAAGTGAAGAGGTCTTAAAATATTTACTCTGTTGTTAAGTACCGTGGAGTCGGTTCCGACCCATAGTGACCCTGTATAGGGCTTCCGAAGCTGTAAATCTTTACAGGAGCAGAAAGCCTCATCTTTCTCCTGCGGAACGGCTGGTAGTTTCAAACTGCTGACCTTGAGATTAGCAGCCTGATTCGTAACCACTATGCTACCGGAGCTCCTTTTAAAATATTTACTGCTGAAGATCGAAGAGCACAGCCTTCAGTATGGATTGCATCTCAGTGCAAAGAAAA